CCTGAGTTACTCCATTCCATAGGGGGCCAGGTGACGAGTAGTTACTTCAAAATTTCACAACTTGAGAACGGTCCTTCAAGGAGGAACGGAGCTATGATATTAGTGGGTCTTGAAACCCATGCGACTTTGTCTCAAGAATTGGTTTCTTGTGGGTGACTTTTTCAAAGGCATTTCGAAGTCAAAAGAAAGTGCTGTGACAAGCAATCCATGATCTGGCTCAGCAGTAATGTCAAGGTAGTCAAGCAGGCAGATGAAGCATTATCGACTTTTCAAGAAGCCGTCCTGAATGATGGAGGTATGAAGCAATATGTTGCTCTTCAGATTTGCCCATAAACTTCGAAACTCCTGACGTGATGCTGATGAGTCGTCAGTCTCTGATAGTAGAAGTTGGCCTTAATTTGTGCCTTGGAGTCGTGTACAACAGTTTCCAGCACTCTGGTTAACTGCTGTTGCTTGAGGACACGTTATAAAGCTTCAGGAGGGTAATGGGTATGTCCGCGCTACCTGTTTTTGATGGGATAGATGGACTTCCATCAGAGCCAGCGTCGTATAATGTTCGAAGAGATGACACATGGGGTAAAACTTGGGAGGTGAAGGTTGTGTTACTCCGAAAGTGATTTGGTAGCGTCAGAACATCAGGACTACATACTGTATCTTCATTCATAAAGTAGCAAACAAATCTGGAGCTGAATAACTCGCGTATCTCCCGCGGGTATTCGTATAGTTTTCCTCCGTCTAATAATAAGTTAGTGATACCTGTTCTGTTGTTGCTAATTCGCGATTTAATTATGCCTCTGCATTATAAGATCCCGAGTGGAATATGCGTTCTTACTGACGGCCTCAGATGATTGATAAAATTTGAATGAACCATAAGCTTGCCTGAATGTAATGAGAGATGAAAAGTCACTAAATCTGTTGAATAGTCCATAATGCTTACACAGGGAGTTTCTAACTTTCATGGGATGAGGTGGGGCTTTTTACGCCTTGTGTCAATGTATTTGAAGATTGAACGATCAATTCATGGTTGTCTGCTCAAACCCAACTTCCCCAATTTTCGCGGAGTCATCAATCAGCCGGTCATCGTCTCATTGGTCGCTGTTCAGAAAGAAGTCAGGAGAAAACCGTCAGAAACCTTAGTTGTAATATTGGTTATATGCTGGTGTTAGAATAAATAATTCTCGAGTTACCAAACTGGGTTCTGGTTTTCGCGTCCGTTCGTACTAAGCGTTTCTGAGAAGCTTCGAGGAACAGCGTGAGTCCCAGCGTAGCAAGAGTTGGGCATTGGCGGTTAACGAGACGAGGCTGACACCTTGTTTTCAGCTATCTTGCTGGAGCGATGAAGTCGTTTGCAGATCCCAAATTCACGTAGAGTAAGTTGTTTGCCTCTGTAGCCGGGCTGCATGCAAAGCATGACCCCCAGTATAGACTGTGTAAGCATGGTTCCAGGTCATCCTGCTGAGCGTATCTGTAACCTCTAAGTAATACTTTGCTGGCATTTATTGTTAAACTCATAGTGGTACGACTGTTAAACGTACCGAACACTACTCTGCTGTCGCTGACAGGAAACACTTTACCTACTCGAAGGGTTGTGGGGATGATCCCAATAGTAAAAACTTGGTCCAGAATCTTAAAATTGACTAGTAGGGTGTATTACGCGCTATTGCCAGTCTTTTCTTTCTATAGTACTCAAAAATTCATCATACTGTTTCAGTACATGAAGTGCCTGTCAGACTGCATCTGGCATAATAAAGTCTCCACATATAATTTTGGCTGTGTGAGGTGGCGGAGTGGCACAGGCGAACATGTTAGCAAACTTCATTTCACTTCAACAGCTGAGAATGAGGGGCGGATGATTTAACCCATGAGGTAGGAATTCGATTAAAACAGCTGCAGAATACCCCATAGTGAGTCAATATCTGTGATGAGCTTTGGGTAAAAGCACTGTGCCGCCTTAATATCAGACGTAATATACATAGCACATCCTCCCCCTCCCTCGTGGTTTCTGCCGACCCTTAATAGGTGGTGTTTATTAATAGAAATATCCTTACCGCAAGTCTTAGATGTGCACCATGTTTCAGCAACTATTATGAGGGACAGGTTGCAAATTAAGGGTGATGCAGTGAGGACAGACATTTTGTTGAATAAGAAGCGATCATTGATCAGACGGAATAAGAGAGTTAGTAATGGCGCTGAAATCACGTATATCTTTAGAAGTTTTCCTCAAATTCTGTGGTGTCTGGAGCAGGTTGTTTGAAAGATGCCGAGTTAGATGTTGGCTAGTTGATGGCAGTGTTGGAATGGTGCACTGGACCAGTATCAGAACAAAGAGAGGTGACACCGTTGGTTACCTTGGGGAGTATGGAGTGTTCATAATGCCGTGACTGGAATGCGTCACCCTTCCTTCTGAAGGCAAGTGGTCTGACAGAGTGTGTTCTATTTGCGTCAGTGCTGGGGCTAAGATTTCGTATTGGCTGAGTAAATTTGGGCTGGGTGACAAGCAAACATCTATTTCTTGTGTACAGCGTGTCGGATAAAAGTTACTTGCGTCACAGTTATGACCAATATTTTGCGTGTCAAAGTTGTTTTTGTAGATATTAGTCCATGGGCGATCACGGTACCTAGAGACGCAGCTTCTGTTGTGGTTGTTGGGCGAAGATTTTTTCGGTGTTGGATGACTCGATGAGTTACATGTCTTATCAGAAATATCTTGACCAAACACCAAGCCCTACTTTACTATGACTATACTCGATCGTGCCTGTAAAAAAGGACATACATTTTCATGTAAATTTTTAAATTTATATGAAATACATTACATTATTATAAGTTGGTCGAAGCAAAACATATATATGTTTACCGCCAAGGAGGTCATAAATTTGTTTAATCGATGGGCGACTAATATAGAATCACCCTCAGGACCAATGAGAAATGGAAATGAATAAGTACCTAGTGTCTCTTGATAGTACTGCTCACATTTATCAACTGGAACAACATTCATATTAAAGATAATTAGCAATAATTTCCAGTTTTCTCTTCAGTGGAGACAGCTGAATGAAGTTCGGAAAATTATTTATGCGTATACATGGTTAGATTGTGTTGTGAAAGTCTGACCCTTCAGTGCATGACCTTAACCAGGAAGTACCGCGATCGGTCCAACCTGGTAACATTTCACTAGTTTGGAAATGGATGAAACATTCGGTTTGGACATTCACAGGCAACTAAACATCACTATGACTGCTACAAGTCAGATAGCTCTACTAAATCACCAAATGGAAACTTAATGGATATTCCTCAAATAGGCGATGCAATAGAATTGGTGGAACTGCAATGAATCTTCCCAGGGAAGTCGCCGGGCTGTGACGGTATTCAACCACCGACTTTCGAACAGTGAACAGGAGCTCCCTGAGGCTTCATATACCACCGATTCCAACTCTTCTTAGATTCAGACAGACTGACCAGAGAGCGTAAGAGAGCCATCCTTTCCCTTATCTTCAAAGGTGAGTTCAGCGAAACGCAGTGAAATAAACAGGGGTACTACTTTCAGTGGTATTGATGGTAATGGAAAGTCTGACTTATGACAATGTAAGGCAATACCTTGGCAGGAACAACACGTTCCTCAAAGCACAACGTGGTCTCAGAAGAGGTAGATCCTATGAAGCAAGTGAGCTGTTAGCATGAGGTGATTGGAAATCATTCTGGGATTTGAATCCTCACCTGAATTCCCTCAATTTCAGAAAAAAATCTAGCATCATTCAGCGCGATCTTCTTCCTCAGAAAAACGGTTAAACGGTTATTGGAGGGCTCCTTCTCTCGTGTTTAGAGCGCAAATTAAATGGAACGGAATTTTGTACTGAAGTCAGTAACCTCCAATTATCCCGACACAGCTCAGCATTGAGAGTCCCACAGGTTTCCATCAAAGGGCCCCCATTGTTTTTCTATTCTCACCAGTAATCTGCCATACTACCCAAACTGCATGGCTCTTCATCATACTGAGGACGTAAAAATTCCGGAGCAGTAGAGCGTTTGAAAGACTCATACAAGTTGTGTACGGGCCAGAAAAAGTTGAAATGCTTATGACTGGTCAGTGTTGTCTCTGGATCTAAAAGATGCAAAGTGATGCAATTGAGAACCGGTTTACAACAGAAGGTAAGTTACTCTTTGTGTGACGATATCTTGCCTCCATAGCGTCAGAACGTGGCTAGGGTATGGATCTAACTGAAAACTGGGCACACTTGTGGATTTCTGAAGTGATGTGGTAAGGGTCTATCTGGTTATGTGTCACACGCACGTTGCTTAGAAAGGAAGTCAGTCTCTTGGAAAAGGTCCAAAAGGGGTTGACAAAAAGGGTTATAGGGCTGCGGAATAAACCCTACAGTGATATGGAGAGAAAACTGGCTGCCGTAGGCTTAGTGGTGACCTTATTGCTGCTCATAAGATTATGACCAGTATCACCAAACAAGGGTATTTTGACGTTGACTTTGAAATTACTTATTCATGAGGCTCTCGTTTCCTTCTGCTTCTAATTTGTCGCCCATGAAACTCTTGGCCAGTACGTGTCGCTAATGAACCTTCTTTAGAAAGCAATAAGTGGAGGCTAGATACTAATGTAGCAACCTATGGACTGTATTCCAGTGGGATATCCACTCTAAGCTCACTACTCTCTCTTAATGGGTACCATACAAATTTGTGATTTACACCCGCTCAGCCTTGTTTTTCTCACTTTCCTGAGTATTTGGCCCACTCATTCATTTACTTTTTAATGGTTTAATTTCAGCAACATCACGGCTTTAACACACTGCATAAAACAAGCCATATATAAGCGATCTCGGTGTCAACCAGAAATGCTGCTGGTGGTAAAACTAGGGAGACATACAAAGATGACCAGGGATCTTTATTTTAAAATCATGAATCACACATTCGAAAGTGAATCTAATTTGTTCTATCCCGGTAAAAAAAGTTGCATAATGGACCCCATTTGTACACATAGTTGTTTTACTGAGTTATCATAATGTACTGTAACTGCCATAGAAACTGTTTCGATTTGAAATAGACATGGCCGTACCCTTTTCTAACACAACTTTAAGAGTTCCACATGGCTTTCCAAACTTGCTGGAGGGTCTCGCTCGAGAAGTGTTACGATATCAACCAAAAGACATTTACGGCTTCGGCGCCAGATATTTCGAAGAACTTTTAAAAAAGAGAGAAGGTATCTGAAATAAGTAAATTGCTTATAATACAGAAACGGGTATCGAAGACTTGGCTCAGCTTGGAGCAAAACTAGATGACAGATATTACAATAATAAAGCTTATTGTGTAAGTTGGTTAAGATGGTTGTTCCACGTCGTATGCGGTTTAATGAGTGAAGGTTATATAATGAATAAAATGTACTGTTTTGTATGATATACTAGATAAACATGTGTTGGAAAAAGTAGCATAGTGAGAGTCATATATGTGCTAATTTTCAATCAATGGGCATCATAAACAACTTTTGAGTTGGTTATGTAAGAAAAACATTGGTGGGCGTGTAAACGCCTTAAACGTTTAAAAGTCTTTACTAAAATCAACCACAAAATATCGAAATGAGGACCTCTTCGAAATCGACTCAGATGACTACTAAACGCATGCTTCTGGTGCTCCACACACATTTTTATTTAATATGAGGTCATTAGCTTAACCGTTTGGACTGTGACGTATGACTGCAGTCATTATGGGGTTTTTATTCATGTCAAACTCTTAACTTCAAGATTTTATATGTGCTGTTTGATTTCTTGCGTTTTCAGGCCAACTCTTGAGTTTCCGAGAATACACAGAACTTCGCCATCTCTCCCACAACTCGCGACACTTCGTAGTCTTGCATGAATTTACCTAGGAATTCTACTCCCATTCGATTCCTTGTCTTGGCAGTTTTCGCTATGCCTCGTTAAGGACCCGGAGAAAGCTCTGCTAGTTCAGAAGTTTTACTCCTAAGAATGTAGGCATTCCGATAGTATAAAGTAATACCTGTGTGTTTATCTGAATTGCAAGCAGAGGTCTTTACTGAGAGACCACTACTAGATGGCTCAGCACTTTCGGGTTTTAGTCAATTGTTTCCGAATGCGCCTCCGACTCGACTCCTCACTTGAGTGAATTCTCAAAGGTCACTGAGGTCTAGTTTAGATGTATCCTAAGTCTTGTATGTGTGTCCCGTTTTATTTTATTCCTCGGTATTTTGCAGGAATTCATCACTTCGTCTAGTCTGTTTTCCACTTCGGATGAACTGTCTGATGTGTACCTTGTTACTCATCTGTGGAAGTAACTCCCACAGTTTTAACCAGCCCTACTTAATGTGTATCTCGTAGAGGTCGGTTTACGTCTGAATACTTTCCAGTATTCCAGGTAATTACACTGCAGTAATTACATACTGAAGTCGTCTGAATCCAGTGTCGATAGCCTTTAAAACCCTAACATTATATGTCCTATTATTCTATTCTTGCCCTCATCTATTTTGTAACAGTTTTTGATTTTAAAATGGAATTTTCTTAGGTTTCATGTACGGTTTGGTGTTGAAAATCGATAATTTTTATACTTGCAAGTAAGATAAGTACCAAGAATACTTGAACTTACTCAAAAGAATGGATGAAACATTACAAAATAAGAACTCATTGTGACATGTTTATTTTGCAGAGGACATGCTGTTTGTTAGGGAAACTTTTATACATTAAACGCTTTTCTCTATTAAGTCTAGGTAAATAAATGGTACGATTAGGAACTTTGAAGAATAAAGTATCTAGCCCAATTTTCGTATAATTTGTAATAGAATATTTCTTCTGCGGTAGAATTGTAGAAGCTAATTGTTCATATGATATAATAAGTGATATTGAGTAGAAGACGACAGTGCATGTGAAAGAGCACAGAAGCCATACAGAATTCCTCACAAACGAAAGCGAATGGTTTGGTTTTATTTAAATTTGTCTTTGCGAAGCAGATTTGTAGAATTTTTAGCCATGATTTGACTAGATAACGGGACATTTTGAAGATAAATTTTGCCATTAGCCCGGTGGGCAACAGTAAAGAATAGACACTAAAGTCAAATGGCCTTGAATTAGCCAATAAAACGGTTAGGCACTACACATAAATGTTGTTCATAATCTTCTTTCCAAGTTTCACCCAGATTTTTTAATACCAATAATACAATAACTAGTCCACCGAGTCACTAACATACATACATCCGAGTGAATAGGTGATTCGCAACTATCGTCATTAGACTATATTCATCGTAAAGTCAACCATAGTTCTGAATCAGTAGATACTATAGGTCGAACTCATACAAATTCTATTGAACGATTATAGATCTATCTAAAAAGACGTATTATAATAGTAAATGGTTCGCGACATAATATGATATACAACCACTTACATGAATTTTTGTATCGAGATTGGTTTTATGTGTTTACAGACAATCCTATGATAAACTGGGACCAGTTTTTGCAGTATCTTAGAGATATATACCCTGTGTAATTCAGTTTTATTACATATATGTCTTTTAAATACACTTTAAAAAAAGTAAATGCCACTTTTCACCTAGAATAATATAAGTGGCAGATTCAAGGTCACTTGACTTTGGTGTCTGTTGCTTACTGTTACCATCCAGTCAACAGCACTTGAAATCTGGTAAAAAGGTTGGTCATATTAATTCAGTAGACAGTGTGTGAAGTAAAGCACTGAATAAATTACCACTCACATAGATTACAGCCTTGCCTTTAGTGTGTTTATGTTCACCTGACAGTAATCTGAATAGTTCATTTGCTTTAGCGATACCTGCTTTTATCTTCTTTCTTATAGAACTTCGGTGGAAAAGATTCTCAAGAGAAATAAGAACACTGCGACTTATATGCAATAATTTGTTTGTTACTTTATCGTTATGCTATTCTCGTTTCCGTTTTAACTTATTTTGCTGTTAAAAATTAAGTTATTTTAATTCGTAAACATTCAAAAGTACTCTTATTTGTTAAAAAAAGACTGGTACTTGCAGTATTAATAATGCTGAACATCAAGAAGCCGCTGTACGTATTCAAGCAGAATATCGTAGACATTTGGCTGTTCAAGAGACTGAGCATATACGTGAAGAAAATGCTGCGACACGAATTCAATGCAATTATCGGGGTTACAGAGATAGAAAACTAGTGAAGTCATTGTAAGTTTTACTATGACGGCAAACCATATTATTAATCAATCTCACCTTAATGTTTTTAGATTTTATGTTTTGTTTTTAGTAGTGTCATTATGGGATATCCAGATCTCAAATATCCTGGGACTATCGCTGGTTTCAGAAGACTAAGTTTAATACGCAAAACAATATGCACTGTAACCGATTTTGATGTGGTTTTGTTCTCTGAGCTGGATGGTTAGTTTGCGAAGCTTTCATCGCCCTACTGGGTGACATCTTCAGGGCATACTTCAATTTGAAGTGAGCTTTTAGGTTTCTCCACGAGTTTATTAATCATTCCTCCTGGTGACATTGGACGTGATTGGTTGTTTATGTGTGTTTTCACACCTTCTAGGTTACTTGTGTTGGAACTGATTGTTTGTCACCCAGTAGGGCGATGAAAGCTTCGCAAACTAACCATCAAGCTCAGAGGACAAAACCACATCAAAATTATCCACCTGAGCTACAAATCTTCTCTATCATAACTGTAACCGATGTTGAACATGAGAAAATGGTTGGGCAATACGATTGTTTATTCTTTGAGTGATAATAAAACAGACTTACTATGGTTAAGCAGTGCTAAAGTTTGTATAAAAACGTTAATATAATGTACAGCAATACTTCTGATCGTATTTCGCCAATCTCCTGCCAACCAGTTCATAATTAAGCAGTGACAGGTTTCTTGTCTCCCGCCAATGCAGGCTAGTTTGAGTAAACAAACGACTCAATGTTCACTGCCTTTGACAGTCATTCTTAAATATATTGGAAGGACTAATTACGATTCTCAAACTATCAATGATTCTAACAAAGACACATGTTTTCAGTTATTTTATTATTAAACAGTCATTTTTATCACAAAACTGTAGTCACAATCATTAATTAACTCCTAATAATTCGGTGATAAAGAATCACTTAAACGGAAACTATGTGCCTTCAAGAATATTACAGAAAATAATAGATATGACGGAAAAAGAGAATTTATCACAAGAGAGTCCAGCAATCATGCAAACTAACAAGCTTAGTTATTAGTTTGTATAACACATAAAATAAATTCCTACATAATGTCCGACCGACTGGTTTCAACAAAGAGGGTATAGGTTACAGGATTTAACCGTCAGCTAACATCGGTTAGAAAACCACTGGAAGAACTGGGAGTGCTGGACAACTGTTTCGTCCTAGTTTGCTACTCTTCATCAGTAATTTAAGACTCATACTGGTAAAAAGTGTTCGAAAAAAGCACTCATTTTTTCAATTAACGGTGAAAGTTATCACGAATATAATAGAAAAAAGACTTAACAAATATATTTTTTCTATGCTTATGAGTGCAACTCCTGAAAAGTGACTGAGTACCCTTTAAATCACGTAGGACGCTGGATCGATAATGAATAAACGAAAATTGAATGTTGAGTGTAGGATTTATCAACTGTTACTTCACTGAAAAAGCATCTGTTTCATCCAAAAAGTCTCTAACAATTGTATAATTTGCACCACCGACAGATGGTCTCTGCAGATCTTTAACGGAAGTAGATTTCTTAACATTTGATAACGTCTCCTCTCTGGATATACCTAAATCTCAGCCAACCACAGCGAGATAAGTGGATAACCCTGTTCTTATAGTCTCTAAAATATGAAGAAGATATTTTTCAGTTAAATTTCATCTGTAGTCCATGCATATTTCAAGGTGGATTGAAATGTAGTTAAGAGCTACGCCAAAGAAATACGAGTTCTGTTTGTCTAAAATGTTTGCGAAGACATGCAGTGACCGATGAACCATTCTTCGATTTCTTATAGACACCGATACTTTTTTTTTAAATCAATTTAACTTTGTTTTGCTTACTGATGAACCTGAAGCACCTGCGATGTTTATCTATCAGAACTACTTTTTTATTTTTTATTTGGACATTTCATCAAAAAATTCTAATTTTACCTCAGTTCTTGATATCTGTATGAGTGAGTATTATGAATCTCTGTTGTGTCGCTAATTACTTTGATCAGGAATCAAGGTTCATTAGTATGAAGTAACTTAGCTTAAGCAAATTCAGGAAAGCAGTGACTATAAGGTAACATATGTGTTACTTTTCTCCAGAAAATGTTTGTATTATTTTAACTACTCAGCCGTTTATGAGTAGTTTGTAGAGTTTATAAGAGATTTATAAAAGTTTCTACAGGATTTAATGAGTTGACATCCGTCAAAGAATCATTGGAAAACCTGAGCGTACTGGGCAGCAGGTCGGTTGTAAGGACAAATAATCACCTAAGACAGTGGCTAGTGATCCTGCTATTTCATGCATTGGCAGAAGTTGGAATTCATGGGCTGGTTATTGGATCGGGTCCCAGTGGCTGAATGGTTTATGAGTTCGCATTGTAACCAGAAAGTCCTGGATTCGAACCCTGGCGGTGGGTGCGTACTGATAAAGACTCCCAAACTTGGACGAAACATTTGTCTAGTACTCTCAGGCGCTTCAGTGGTTCTCCAACTGATGCCAGCTAATGATGAAATCCTGAAATCAATCAATCAAATCCCTACATTTTTTTTTGATTTTTGATTTACAGCTTGATTCCACACTGTATTTTTGGTACAAGTATGGAATTTTCAGCATGGATATCGGTAGCCCAAATTTTGCAGGCCGACCATAGATATATACCAATACTTGAATGTAGAAGTTTGTTAATTAAGAAGTCAAAAGGTCTTAGCGAAAATTACTGTAGCCACTTTTGTTGTTTTTTAGAAAAGAAAAGAAAGACAATGAAGGCATACAACAAGAAACTGAAGTAAGTAACTGTGTAGTATATAGAGTGTTATATTTCGAAAAATTTCTGCTTTTTTCCGATATCTAATTTCCCGAAGGATTTGGATACTGATTTTATTTTTGAAGGTTCGATGTTTGCAAACTCTTAGTGGGGGAAACTATTTTATACACTAAAAAGACAAATGAATTTGTTTTGATTTTAATACAGTTAACATACATAGAAAAGGTAGATTACTTCTGAAAACAGCAGCTTATATGAAATTCCTTCACAGTTTCTGTTTTACTTCGCGTGTTAAATCTCTTGCACACTGAAGAGTACTGTTCATTACATAAATTTTATTTCAAGTAATCATTTTACGAAACAACCCACTGTAATATGCGTGATCCTAGATGCTCAGCATTGATAGTGCCTTTTTGTTGTGGACTGAATAACCTAGCTTTAGTTTACTTTATAAACTCTCAGACTAGCTCTTATCATTATTAGCATCATTGTTTCCCTGGGTTCTAAGTGACACAGAGGAATTTTAACGGCACATCTCCGCTTCTTTCTATTTTCTGCCGTCCGTTTTGGCTAGCCTCATGATCGCCTATAATCTCTTACATACTCCTCCTTCCGTGGACGACCCACTCGGCATTTACCATTCGAGTTCCACTCGAGAGTTTGGTACGCAATGTTATTCGACGGTCTCCTCAGTGTTTGCCTTATCCATCTTCATTTTCTCCTGCTTGTTTGTTGAGCAATAGGTTTTCTGGTTGTTTTGTTCCCATAGTTTCTGGACGTTTGATTTTCACTATGTGGTGAAGGCAGCTGTTGATGAAAGTCTGCAGCCTTTCACAGTGGATATCTTTCATTTCAAAAAAAAAAATTGCCGCTAACTAATTTTATGGGTAATAAACTGTTGTCATGACTTATATAGACGTTTAAGTTCTTGTGTTTTATTATTTTTCAAAGCTTTTTTACATTAAACATTTATAAATTATCCTTATTCTCTTAGATTTTGTTTTAAATATAATATGATTTCTATAGGTAAGGGTTCTGATAAAAGCATTTTGTCGAATAATAACTTTCAAGTATATACCATTTGGTTTTTGTTTCTGAAAGGTGGGCTATACTGTCAACAGTATAATTACCAATGAGATAAAACGATAAATAATTGATTGTGAATACAAACCATCTGAGCTATTCAATCATAAATAATCCATCTGATATATGTGGTGATGAATAAGAGTGAATAACTCTCTAATCGTACATATATGTTTGTTTAGTATGATAAATAAAAATATTACTAGCTGACCAAAGTTATGGTACAGCTCTCAATACTGATAAAAGCTCCTAAAACACTTATTCTGTAAAAAGTCAATATTGTACAACATTGGTATGTCATATATATATATACGCGTATTCACTGGCCAAGTTACACTTTATGCATCAGTAGTTAACAACAGAGTGCAACCACACCAGGGACCTTGCAACGCTTGATCAGCAAGTTAGTGAAACTGGGTAAATTACATTAGAATGATGTATAAAATATAATTAATGAAGTATTTCGATATTAAACGGGATATACCTGTTAGGTTTCCCTTAGGTTTATGAAAAATAAAGTTATGCTTTAGACTGACGACAGGTTTGAGTTAGGTTAATGTGATAAGGGAGATAATACAGTTGGTTAGAGTCAGAAAAGAGTTAGTTTAGAGATATTTTTGCATTAGGGTTAGGAGACACGGATGATTACATGTATAGAATGTGGTTAATTACTCTTTTGACATTTCAATCCAAGATTGAGGAATATATGTTTTTTTCATACGTCAGGAAAAGGTATCCTGTGTAACAAATGCATCAAGTTTTATCTATTAATCTCAGAAATATCTGTAATTAATACATAAAAGTCGCCTACGTCATGTGTTCAGGGCATAAAGTGCTTACAGTTTAACTTCACCTATTCTTTTTATTTGGTTATGTTAAAACCTTGCATTATGTCAGGAGTCAAACAAGCAGTTTTCTGTTATACTAGGTTGATCATGTATCAATTGAACCGTTAAAACTCACACTCCAATTAAGTTGAAGTATTTTAGTTTTATCATTTGGTGTTTTATTTTTGGAGGCGTATGAATTAGGTACCTAGTGATCAGTGATTCTACCTGATTATATTAATAGCTTCGTGAAAGTTTGAAGCATATATATATATATATATATATATATATATATATGATATCATAAGTATTCCCTTGAGTTCCAAGTGGAACATATGGCCTCAACAATACATCTCCACTTTCTTCTATGTTCTGTTGCCCTCTTCAGCTGGGTCTACAATTGCCCATAATCTCTCATCTCGTGCAAATCTCACGATCTCCTTCACGTCATCTTCGGACAACCCCCTCATCACTTGCCATTGAGATTCAACTCGGTTGACAGCCTGCATTGAGCGCGAAGTCATTCGACGGTCTCCTCAATGTATGCCCTATCGATCTCCACATATTTTTTAGCAATCTGCTCGTGGTTGATTTGTTCATCGGCACTGTTGCTTATTGCTAATTGTTTCTTTCTGATTGGCCATTTGATCTTGAGTATGGTGCCAGTGAAGGCAGATGTTAATAAAAGTTTGTGACTTGTTGAAAATCCTTTGAATGATGCGTGTGTCAAGTTTTTGACTTGTATAGAAGGACTGACTTCACATTTGTATTGAAAATCTGAATCTTGTTCTCAATGCGAAGTTAGCACAGAAGATTTCCCAACTGGTTTCAGGTTGATTAGGGCGTATCTTGCCTTCACGATTCTCGCCTGCTCTCACATCTTCATTCGTTCCGCGAGCCTGTAGTTGAAACCGTCCTTCCTAGATAAATGAAGGAAGTAACCTCTATCAAATCTCTCCCGCTGACAGTGACTGGTGCTGGTTGTTGTTGCATAGTCAGGTTGTTTAAAATCAGAAGAAACAAATATAACCGCAACGAAAAGTTATGTAGATGTACAATTTGCATTTTCTCTATAGTGCGCAATACTTAAGCAATATCACGTATTTTAGCTTCCATACATTTGGTTCCTTTGATAAATTTCAATTAATAAAGAAAGCATAAAGTTATATCACTCTGTTTCACAGGTTCTCATTAGCTGCAATCTGCCTGAAATTACAGGGGTTATAAATGGTATTAAATAGCATTAGAGAATATATTATAAAAATTGATGCATCAGAAATGCAATCAATTATTACAATATTTAGTTTAATTCGCCACTAATTTATATACATTCAAAATAGAAAAGGGAGGACTGGGGAGTAAAAGACAGAAAACAGAAGAACTTAATAAACAGTGTTAACTTGTAAGTTCTCATAGCAAGTCAAGAAACGTTGTAGTTCATAGGATTGAAAATTCGCCCAGTAAGCTGCAATCACTGATATGAATGATCGATCATTGTAGTTTTTACAATAGTTTCTCCATTACTAGTCAAAGATTGAAGTAGGTTATTGTTATATTTTATAACCACTATAATTTCAGATAGTTCGCAGCCAATGAGAACCTGTGAAGCAGAATGATAGCAAATTTGGTCTTTTTTTTCTTTAGATTAAAAAAAAAGCCAACCTCGTTTATTATTAGTACTTTGAGTTTCGAGTGGACCATAGGACGTCAACAGCACACCTCCATCCCAACCTGTTCTCCGCAGTCCTCTTTAGGTAGCTCCACTTTGTCATACAACCTACTGCACATCACCCCCGGCCCCACGCTCAACTCGTCGCTTCCCATCCAGGTTCCACTCGAGGTTGGGTCGTAATATCACTCGACGATCCCTTCACCATGTGTCTAATCCATTTTCATTTTCTTTGGCATATTTGTTGAACATTAGGTTCTTGACTTGTTCACTGTCAGAATTCTTGGTTGCTAACGCTTTCTGACCATCTACTCTTCAGCTTGGAGCCAGAGAAGGTAACTGTTGATGACAAATCCACAACAGGCTGTTCAATCTGTTTTATGTTACATACAATGCAATCCACCACAATCGGGATAATTATCGGTGATATTAGGCAGCTTTGTCTTACTCATGTCTTCATTTCAAATGCTTCATTGAGCTTTCTACTGTGAATTACTTGATATGTAGCATTTTTTTTTTTTTTGATTTACAGCTTGATTCCACACTGTATTTTCGGTACAAGTATGGAATTTTCAGCATGGATATCGGTAGCCCAAATTTCGCAGGCCGACCATAGATATCAGATGTGCGTCGGTGCGGGCTCGAACCCCGGACCATGTGCATGGTCGGCGAGAGTCCTAACCACTGTGCCACCGACTGGTGATTGATAAAGTTCTGGGGTACTGTACTCCACAGTGCTGAAACAGTTTGAAAGTATACTTCGCACTTATCACTGTGGAAAGATTTTTACAAAGTCGATGAAGTTGAGGAAAAGATAATTGACTTCTATTGTGTTATCCGTTTACTGATGATGCATAGCACTGTAATTTGATTTGCTTGATTATAGCTTCTCATATATATATATATATGCACCCTGCTTAAATTAAATCATTTATCAATGCCCCTAACGCTACTATTGGTTAACTACTTTTATTACTGTGCAAATGAAAACTTAAACTACAGCGCAGTACCTTTAAGGAAAAAAAGAAAGACACTAGTTTTTAAAAAAAGTAGATTTTCAACTTTTCTTCATTAACTAACAATATCCACAACATAAATAAAGATTCATAAATTTTAATACAACTAAATTTTTGCGCTGTACTATGACGCCAGTCAAAGTTAATAGCCTACTGGTTCAAATTAAAAGCATCAACAATTAAAATATAGGGTAACAAACTTGAATTGAATATCTTGCCTGTAATAAAACTTGTTTAAAAACTATTCAGCTCCTTATTAAAGTTTAATTTTTACAGTTTCTATGACTTTCTTATCTTTACAATGGCTTAATTTAATAATAATCATAATGATTTACTTTATTCCAAAACACTGATTATAATCATAGGGTGGAATTCTCAGCATTCGGGATAGTACTGCATCTAATTTACTTAACAACAAAACGAAAT